TTTCGGTTAGTAAAAATGATTGAAATTATTTCGGTCACCTATTATGATCGAAATAACCCCCTGGTTTTTTACTTCCCCTGCTCTTATAACAGCCGACTTTGATTGTTAGACTCGACTCCCCCACAGCCAGTTTAGAATTTTTGTAGCTGGCTTTACGAGATTCTGCCCATTTTGTTTTTTGTGTAGAGTCGGGTACAAAACGCAAAACCCAGCTTTTGGCTATTTCGGTCAGTCATTATGACCGAAATGATAAGCTATTTTGGTCATAATTATTGACCGAAATAATCAACTATTTTTTAGTTCCAGTGTTTTGAAAACAGTCGGCATTACTTTTTAAAGCCGGCTCTTTACAGCCGGTTTACAATTTCTACGGTCGGCTTTAATATTTTGGTCATCCATTTTGATGGAAATAATAGATTAATATTGGTTAAATACCCTTTTTGGTCCCTCTACTATAGGAAAAAGCCCCTTTTTAGTCCTTGTACCGAAAAAATCCCTTTTTTAATCCATAAATTTCAAAATCCGACCCCTTTTTGGTCCTTCCGTCAGTTAAGTGACAGAGTGGCACTATAATCTATTAAATATTTTGTCTTTTTTCTTTTTATTGTTGACGTGTTATTACACGTTAATGAATAGAATGCCACGTGGAAAAAATTTGATGATGTGGACAAAAAAATTTTCCATATAATGAATAGGTTGTAATATAATTTTTTTTTAAAAAATCATCATTTTCTTTTTGTCTTTTCATTTCCCATTTCTACTCTTTTCTTCTCCCTAAAAATAATTAACTGTAACATCTTTCATCCTTTTCTTTCTCCTCACCTTATCCTCCTCCTCATCCTCGGCATCATCTTCACCGTTCTTTGCCATCGTCTTCATCATCCTAACTTCCAGAAACTAGGTTCCTCGGGGTTCCCCATGGAATCCACGAGGAGCCCAGATCTGGGTTCCCCGTGGAATCCACGAAGAGCCCATATCTGGGTTCCACGCGGAACCCAGAAACTGGGTTCCTCTGGGTTCAGCGCGGAACCCAGCTGGGTTCCTCGTGGAATCCACAAGGAGCCCGGATCTGGGTTCCCTGTGGAATCCACGAGGAGTCCGGATCTGGGTTCCCCGTGGAATCCACGAGGAGCCCAAATCTGGGTTCCCCGCGGAACCCAGAAACTGGGTTCCACGTGGAACCTAGAGGAACCCTTCCTCGGGGAACCCAGCAGCTCCTCGTGGAATCCACGAGGAACCCAGCTGGGTTCCGCGCCCGTGGAATCCACGAGGAACCCAGTTGGGTTCCG